TATATGTTACCGATTAGCTATCTAACGCGTTCGACAGGTAGTGCTCTTTTAATTTATGTTTGAAAGATGCCACCGATGGACTGTCACGAATGCCAGCAGGCAGTTTATTCCACATACGAGTTGCACTTACCGTGAAAGAGTTGTGGAAGAATTTCGAGTTGGATTGGGGATTTATTAGTGATCTAGTGTCACAATATATATTATATATATCAACTGAAGTAAATAGAACACGTATAGTATACATATTAATTTTTCAAAAGGCTTTAATTTCGTTTGTATATAAATAAATTCTGAAATAAAGTCAGAGTCAGGGACCGTCCAAGCAAAATGAACCGTATTAGTACGGGGAAAAGGTGGTATCGACTCTCAAGGCGAGGTAATTCAACGCAAGCCTCCTCGCGTCCCGCAGTCCAAGTAAATTAGTATGAATAAAATAAAAACACGCGTAGAAACACAAATCCGACGTCGACAAGCGCCCGATGGCGACTGATGAGATACCGGGCGGCGCGGCGTGTCGTCAAACTGTTGGGCATATTGCAAATTTCGGAATAAATGTGTATTTAAGAGGGAGCATGCCATTGACGTTGGCTCCGCCCAAATTTGTGAAACAAATATATGCCTGAATTTCGTGTGACATGCGACAGGAGATGTTGAATTTTGCGCATTAAAAGTACCAAATTCGTTTTAGCGGAATAACTCTAAAACTAAAGGGATTAAAAAAAAAATCCGTAGTGACAGTTCTCGATCATGCATAAATATAATTAATTATCTAATTTTTGACCTAATAACCTGTAGCATTTCGAGGATGAATCGAAAAAATGTGAAAATTAGAGGTCATTTCGTGATTTTTATCTATCGAGGAAACTTTATTGTTTTATGTTTCTGATTAGTGTCTATGCTTGAATATATCATGTAGTTACTCATACAATATTTTATTTTTAACTTTAAAGTGGATATACCCCTCTAAAATCAAATCGAAGATTAGGAGTTTTTCCTCTGCTTCCTCTTAATAACTAATAGGGCTTTACTTGAAAACCAACATTTTGTAGGTTCTCTGTAGTACTTAAAGAGTTAAAGTCCTTGTTAAAGAGTTCATCCAGGGAAGTACTGCCACCTCACCTATTTCTGTCGCCAAGCAGTAATGTGAGCATTACTGATTTCCGGTTTTAAAGGTGCTGGTGAAATTACAGGCACATGCGACTTGTCTACTTATATATCAGGTGGCGCAGTGGCCGTCCCCCTAAAATCTTTGCGATTTAAAGCTCTGAGTAACTGTTATGGATAGGTGTGTCGCATACTAGGCGCACGACTTGTTAGTCCCGTCACTTCGTATTATAATATAAAAAATATCCATATAAAAATTATGTATAAAGTCAGATATGTTATTTTTTTTAATAATTCGTTTTATAATTCGTTATTTAACAGTAAATACCTAAACCATGTAATCTAGCAAAACAGTTTTTTCAGCTTCTCCGCCGGTGACTCAGCTTAACAAGAACAAGTAGGGCTTCACACGGACCGTAGGGTTGTTAGGTACATTATTATTTTAGTTGTACCTACAAGTTGTAGCCACAGGTTGTACTTGCAAATTGTAAACCTAATTTGAAGAAATTAAAGTACTAACCAGAGTATTCTCGTGCTATGTCCATAAACGCGGGTTGCCATAGTTGCACGGAACGAGTTACCGTAGTTGACTGATGGAAAGACTTTCCTCACTTCCATCGTCGTGTATGTAATATGTCGATATTTACTGAAACCAAATAAAGCTAATACTTATATGATAACAGAAGTCTCAGAGTAAATCATGTGGCTGCTCAGAACACAGTTAAAAGAGACGCCACTCGTTATCATACAGTCTACAAACTTTGTCTTTTAATTTGAAAAGATAATAGTTATTTTTATGAAATTCTTAAGTTTTTATTTTGTTAAAAAAAATAAAGTAAAAAAGATAATACTAAAGGTAGATACGATATTAAAAAATACCTATTTTAAACTGCACTACATAGGTAGTATTATCTGCAAGCTAGCATACAATTGTAACATAGAAATTAAAGCTTTTGAACAGCATAAGGAGAAAAAATGTAAGACTTTGGTGTTTATTCATTAAATAATTTTCACCAGTTACAGGTTCCTTACCACGATAAGATTTCTTTTTATTTTCCCGATATTTCGAGGGTGAGGGTAGGCATTGACAGCGAAAGAGGGTAGACAGATATGTCTGTTTTGACAGCTGTCAACAGCCGCTGGCCAATCAACCCGTGATCAGCGTCGATAAAAGAAGTCTAACGTAGCAAGAAACCAGGAATTAGTAATAATTAGCACTGAAATATTTTCCCGAATTATTGAAATGAAATTCTACAACTTTTATTTTTAATTCGACTGTTATGCTATGGTTTTTCTGAGTCCTTCGAATTTTATTTTCTTATTCTTGTACTAACGGTTTTTTTATTTATTAAAAAAAAGAAGTCCGTATTTGACCTCCTCGTGATGGAAAGTGACGAGGAGGTCAACGAAGGAGCATGCACACCTATGTAAATAATGCTTACATTTGTGACCACGTGGCACATTTTGTAATAGTTAATTAAGATTTTGACTGTGGATAAGTCTTTGTACGGCAATAAATTTATACAGAAATATGAAACATTTTGGTATATTTATTTTTATTGAATATCATTAAGTTTTTAAGACCTTTGATATTTATCTATTTTGTGTGACATTATTACACTACGTGCCCGGCACGCAATGATGGCCCTTTTGACAGATTACAAAAGTTAATTAATTATGCTTATTTCAATATAGTTCTATCTAAAGATAAAGATAAATTACCTTAATCTATATAATACAATACAAGTGAAACGAATGTAAATAAAGCTATTATAGTATTCAAATAAGAATTAAGAAGGGAATCTAAATTATACATTCTTCATAGTAAAGCATTTTAATATGAGCATCTAACGTGTAATTGCGATGAATAAACTAAGTAAATGTATACCGGTATTTTAGGCATATTTTTGTGCAAGTTTCTTTACATTACAGCTTAAAAATGTTCTACATGTAGCAATAAAATAATTAGTATTTATAAATTAATGGTTATTTGTATAAAAATAATTAAGAAACAACTTCCAGCAAGTCTTCTGTTTCGGATTAAAAAGTTTTAATAAAACGGACATAAAAATGTTTAATTTGTAACTGTTTTGTTTCGCATTGAGCTTTGACGCGAGTTTGCCGATGGTAGAAGTTGTGCTGGCCAGCGATCCCAATAATTATGTGAAGATGGTATTAGATTTAATTCTCAAAAATTTAGAATTTCGAAAAACAAATGCCGAGTTGTGTCGTAAAATTATATAGTCCATAAATTTTACTGCACGTCACCATTGACAACAATGTACAGCAATTAGCTCCTTCAACGTAGTTATAAATTAATATACGAAACTTGATGAGCGAATAAACGTCAAAACGGCGTGTCGTATCTAGCGTGCCGGTACTTTAGTTGTTATTATTATTGGTGCAAAGATTGAACAAACACAAAGATAAATTCCTTCGATCCTACTGGACTTGAACCAATGTCTATTGCCTCAACCTGGCTACTTTTCAATGTCACTACTGTATTAAAACAAAATCTTCTTCCAAATAACTTTACAGTTTCGTTTTTTCTGATGTATTTTGTTTTTATTTAAATGCCATACAAAAGTGATGTCTGGACTATAAACGCGCAGCGTAAATGAATAAAGTATGAATTAGGGAATGCGTATAATAAATTGCTTTTTTTAAATTATAAAACTTTGGCGTGTAATTTTTGGTATGACTATCTTGTTATGTAAGCAAATGCGTAGACAGCCAAGCGTATATTGAATGCACTGTTTGTAATGAAATGATTGATAAACCTTTTCTTTGATAACCTTTTAAAATTTTGAAAGTAACTCTTTGATGAAATTTTTTTCTTAAAACTATTTTTTTTAAAACACTATTTCAGAAACAAGTGACAACACAGTAGGAGTTTTAACCCGAGTGTGACGATTGGTGCTTGAATGTCTTCTCTTTTTTTAAAGTAACAATCGTTCGCGTGGAATTTTCGCGCTCCTACTCAGTGTTGCCATTTCTAAAAAATATTAATAAACGTACATGGCACTGGTCGCTGATTTGAAACACCACGGTCATCTTCTCGCTTGCCAATGATTTTTATACTTTTTTATTATGGCAACTCTTTTACCACAGCCAACGTAAGATTAATGTATTTTTCTGGTGAAGCGAAAGGATGACTTCTGTTTCTGTCTTTGATAAATGAACTCTATCGATAGAATGTACTTTATCATTGACAGTACAATTTATTAAGAGTCCCAGTTGAAACCAGAGCACTATTTAAATGTAGCATTAATAACTTTTTAAAATAAATTATAACTTAATTCCCATTAAAAAAACAATAATAAACTTATCTAAATTCTCGCTGTATATCTTTCGCTTTCTCTAATTTGCTTAAAACTTCTTAAAAAAATTCCAACGCCGAAAAGCACATTCTTTCCTAGATCGTAAAAAATAAAGTCGGATATAATCGATGTTACGCGTAAAGGAACGCCAAAGAAGCGTTTTCAGCGAAATTAAAAGGTATAATGGATCAAGGAAACCTATTAGGGAGATATTACTTTGCGATAGGCGTGTGATGAGGGTACTGGATTTAGTTAATTTGTTTCTTCAGCGGGCTTCACAGAAAAAATATTTCGTATTACGTACCAAATTTATGTAATTACAAAACATTAAATCGTTGTGTATCAATGAACGTTCGCTAAAAACGTGAGTTCGAATTAATATATTCCAATTTCAAAATCGATTTTTAAATTTAAATAGTTTTCAAAATTGAAATAGTTCCACAATGTTCCAATGGCAATAACTGTAAAAGTCATAAATTAAAAAGGGAATGACTGGATACCTGGCCATAAAGGCTTGATTAAACAGTAAAGATCCTTAAAAGGATACGAGAATGACGACATTCCTTTTGCCATTAGTGCTGACGAAGGTTTTGACGGGACATACCAGACCAACGTGGTGGTCAGAAACAACGGCAGTTGCCTGTACGTGCCCCCGGGCATATTCAAGAGCACATGCAAGATAGACATCACGTGGTTCCCCTTCGACGATCAACACTGTGACATGAAGTTTGGTAGCTGGACGTACGATGGCAACCAGGTATAACGCGTTTTGGTTTTTAGTTTTAGCTGCTGGTACATTTTTGTTTGAACACAAGTGAAGTCATTGGCTGCAGAGACTCCTATGTACAATTTTGTTTACACACTTCTTCTTCACTCGCTAAACAAAGTTCGTCGACGACATGCTTTTTTGCGCTGCTTATATCAAATTATCTATATAAACTACGTTTAATATCGGTGTAGCACTTCTCGAGTTTTTAGTGTCTCGTCTTGGCAGCTTTTGGTTAACTTTTTTAGAATTCTTTATAAAATTTTGAACATGTAACAGCAGCTATAATATTGTAACCTAGGTGTGTAGGTCCAAAATAATGTTAGGCAAATAAATAGGTGACATTTAGGTTGGAAAGTAAGGGAACCATGTGAGAAACCAGACGGATATTATATCCCAAACGTTTTGTATGTACTATTTTGCATGGAGCAAAGTCTTCAACCACAAGGCACTTTCTATATAAATTTATTTCGAATACTCTAATAAATCCGCTGCCATACGGATTCGCTGTTTATAGCTTTTCAATTTCTGCACGATGATGTTATAATAAATATTACGTATTGTCATAAGAAGTTTGAAAATTGATTGGTTCGCTATTTTCATGCATGAATGGATAGTTGCAATATTAACTTATAGTACTATTTTCCAAAGTCACGGAAGTTGACGGTTACTGTGACATTGTTGCCCTATTTCTTTTAATTGTATTAGTTGACATTATAATTTTCAAAATATAATATCAACCAGTATATTAGAATTAATGAGATACAGTTTTAAAGAAGCTCACGATTGCATTGAATGCGGACTACATTGTTAATCATGTAAATGAAATAGATTAACAATGCAACCGTCAAGTTTTGTGAAAATAGGTAAATGGTACAAGTAGTCTATGTAGACATGTACGTACGTCTAAAGTTTGTGTAAGCCAAAAAACTTATCGGAAAGTTTATTAACTTGCATGTGAGTGAAAGCATTACATCATGTCGGTTATTTGTTTATTGACGTAAAATATTTTTATTCTCTATACGTTTTTCTTTTCTTCTGGATTGATATTGGATTATTCGTCTATGTAATATAGTTTTTAGGTTTTATTTTTATTTTTTTTATTTTACTTAGATATTGTATTGCATAAAGTATTACAAATAATATTGTAAATATTTTAAATATTTATCTTATATTAATAGCACGTTTTGTCTTAATACATTTATTTTATGAATGATTAATTATTAAATTCTAAAATGGTGAAGCATGCCGTATTTTGAAGACCAGTATTAGAATATTACGACAACTAATTTTTGCAACTTCTCCATTATGTATTGCTTCATTAAACTATCTAGCAACTAATGAACACTAACTACTGGACAAGACGCGTAAATTAGGTGCGAAATTCTACTATTTAGAACAAGAAATTCTAGGTGAAAATAACCATACACGGTGGGGATAAAGCTTTTTTTGACAATCATGGGGTTGCAGCGAGAAGAATTGTTATAGCGTTTCCTGCGCAGAAATAAAGTGTGACTGTCATCTTTCGAGAAAAACTAAAATTCAACTTGGCGAGTCCTTTCGTTGATGTAAGAGATCCCCAACAAGTCGATGCCTTTGTACAATAACGTAGTATTGCAGAATATTACGATTTTGCACTAAGTATGCAGTGACGAGCGGAGCAAAACAAACTTCATCGTCAATGGCCCCCTTTACACAATCACTCTATCGCGCGTGCAAGATTGCGCGCTGGAATGGCTGCACGCGCAATCGTTCGCGATTACGTTTGAAATTTTTTAAGCTAACGTTTTTGCGCGATTGCTTATGTTCGTTTTTGTTACAACGGAAAGAGCGTCCGTGTTAAGGCTAATGGCGCAGGATAGATTGCGTGAAACTGGCTCATGTTGGAGTGTGCCCGACTGATAAGCTCATTCGCGAGGTCTTTCCCTTTTCCTTCCAATGTCTTTATTTCCTGTATCACGCACGATAGTGTTAGATAGTGTCTGTGAAAAGCTCGCTATTAAAGCACCCATCTTCTTACGTCAAAAAAATTTAAGAAGTCGGAAGATGAGTGTTCACTCTGCTAGACGCCGTAATTGGTTAATACAAAATCTTACCATTCTTCTGGAGGCAGTCTCCATGGCTGAACGGTTACTATGCTGCCCTGTCACGCAAAGGTCCGGGGTTGAATTCCCGGGCCGGGAGAAATATTTGTATGGCCTACATTTATTTCTCTCGTGATTTGTGGTTGTCAACCTTTGTGTGTGTCCAAGCCGCGATACAGGCATTTCCCTAGTGTGAGGATAGCTAATAAATAACATATATGTTAGCCTACTAATAACACTACTAATAACATATATAACCTTTCGTTTCATCTTTACAAGCGACCACGATATGTTTTGGTTGCATGCGACAAAGATCCAGCACGCATAATTCCACTATCAAAACAACCGCAACGCGACACGACGCCAGTTACTTCTGCGCTTGACTGTCGCTTCTACGTCTGTTAGCTATGTATATATGCGAGCGGTTTACTCGTTTCACCTTACTCTGGTCTCATGTTCAGTATAATCAATATGTTTCTAGCCATTTAAATAGAATAGTTACTGAATTAGCAAGTATATAGCAACTGTACGTAAAGTCCGTATGGCGGTGTTTATTTTCTAAGCATGCGATTGCATCCTAGTTGTATTACCTTTTTTGTCTTGCACTGTTTACGAGGTTCTCACATTTCCCTTTGAGGAGACTCTTACGAAACAGAAGGCATGGTAGCATGATCCCCTGATCAGGTTCATGTAGATAGTGGATTAAGTTACTCCTTATTATGATGATATGATTTCTAAAACAATTTGAGAAATGTTTATTAAATGATCAAGCTTTGAATTTACTTTAAAAGTCTGGCAGATTAAAATATAACTCATCTAATAAAAGAATTCTGTGTAATAGAAAATACGACAAGGTTGACCGAGAAACAAGAATGAATTGTGTTAATCATTGAAAGCGTTACTAATCAAAGAATATATAAATAAAGAATATAAAAATGAACATGCGCAATTAAAACTTGGTACTTATATTTTCCAATGACCTTGTGATGTGAACCATATCATCATATTTGGAGAAAACTGATCGAATGACGTGTATGAGACTAATAATTTTCCAATACAGTTGGATCTGGTGTTAAAAGACGAAGCTGGCGGTGACTTGTCGGATTTCATCACGAATGGAGAATGGTATTTAATAGGTGAGTTTATTTCGATATGACAAATGGCGTATCATATTTTAGTAATACGTAAGTAGTTATTTAGTCTGGTTAAGACACATAAGGGTCATTTATTACTGGCTTTAGAATCTTGCTTAGAACCCGTGGATAGATAAATGAAATAAATCTATATTAATTTGATACATCAGTCGGAGCAGATTCTAAACACGACAATGTAGACACCTTATATTGCTTATAAGCAGAACAAGTTGTTGTACTGATTTTAGGCATCTCAAATCAGTGTTGTGAAGCGAAGTGAAAATACTTTATTTTCAGAAAAATTGTAAAATGTTTATCACTTTTTGATTATCTTGTGACGTATTTTATAATTTTGTAAATTGTACCTAAAAAATTTATTACTAACTTAAATCTCGTTCCGCAGGCATGCCAGGCAAAAAGAACACAATAACTTACGCGTGTTGCCCAGAGCCCTACGTCGATGTCACATTTACCATCATGATTCGAAGACGGACGTTGTACTACTTCTTCAACCTGATCGTTCCCTGTGTATTGATCTCTTCCATGGCTCTGCTTGGATTCACACTGCCTCCCGATTCTGGGGAAAAACTTACACTCGGTCAGTATTCGTTTTAACTAGCTTTTATTAAGTTAATTATTTCTTATTCTTATTTAGAGCAACTTCTAAAAGGGAAATCAGTTTTTTTATAAAATACTGATTTGCCTTTTAAAAGTTGGTCTACCGTTTAGGTTGTTACTTTTTAAATAAAGTCACGCATTTCATATTGTCACTATCACAATATTTTATTAATATATTAGGAGTTCCTGTAAATATCAATTCAAGAACGGAAGAAATTTCGTAAATTTTCGAAAGTTGTAAAAAGTTGTAAAAAAAAGCTGTGTGTCAATCAGTACAATTACCTAACACGGAAATCAGTAATTAGTATATTACTCAAAGAAAAAAGTTACAAAGTAATGTTAACTACAAAGACGATACATTTTCTATAAATCTACTACATCAATTTAATGACGAACGTAAGATAATACATTTTAGACTATCTGCCTTTGATTGATTTTGGATTTCCGAAACTTCAATTATGTTTGGAAATAATTATAATCATTCTCAAAGAAAATAACCAATTTGGTATATCTTTGTTATATCTCTCAGTTTAATACCTTAAAATGTTTTAATCTTTAAGAACTAATAAAGATATTTAGCTAGAAGTCTGCTGCTGATACTACATATGTATATGTGAGTTAGATTTAACCGATTTAAATTTATATCAGTGTAATTGTAAGTAATTGAAAGAAAGCTTTCGATAAACCTGACACGGTCTCGGCTAATGCCAACAGGTGTGACCATCTTGTTGTCGTTGACCGTCTTTCTCAACTTGGTCGCTGAAAAGATGCCTTCTACCTCCGACGCAGTGCCTCTCGTAGGTAGGCACTGTAGGACTAATGGAATTTAATACAACGTGCGCTGTTTCCTTCCTTCTTTGTAGGGGTTTCCACAGGGGTCGCTATTAGACCATTATTATTACATGTTCATAATCTTGTTTAGATATAATTTAGTAATATTTGCTAAAATCCTTTTCTTTCAACTTTTGTGTAAGAAAAAGAGTGGAACAAGTTCGTCGTAAATAATAAGTGAACAAAATTAAAAAACATTTTAGAAACTGTTCTCATAAAAATTTTACTTAATATAAAGTCAGATGCGGGACAAGGAATAAAACTTTTAAAGGAGTTCGGAAGCAGCGCGCGCTAAGTAAATATTAGATTGCCTCTAGAATGTGGTGTTACTGTTCGTGTTCGTGTTAGTACGTCAAAGTTTCGAATGCCAAGTGTTGAGGTGAGTAGTAGATGTCATTGGATATCGTTTACAGCATCTCATTGTCATCGTACGTTAGGGGTTTAGGTTGAAAACGTCATGATAGTCAAAATTTTGAGCCAAAATATTAAACGGAGAGTTGTTATTCGAAATGCAACAGTAAAGAACTTCAGAAATGAAGTTGTAGGGATGTTAACAATGTGTTTGATTACAGGAGTCACTATTCTTCTATCGCTGACGGTGTTCCTCAACCTGGTAGCTGAGACCCTGCCGCAGGTCTCCGATGCTATCCCCCTGTTAGGTACACTGCCCACACCTGACCCATGCCTTTTTGAGTCCAACCTGCTACTCCCATTTTTTTTCTGTACTTCTCATGCTTTCATTTCAATCCCTTTTACATTCTTAATTTATTTCGCCTGTCATCTTTGTTTTGATTAAAATTTTAAATAAATTTTAAATTAAGCAATTATTTTAAAACATTACAAGGAGTAAATTATGTACCGTCGCTAATATTTTCGTTAATTTAAATCATTGTCAGCTTAAAGGTCGTCTACATCCGCTTCGATTGGTTTGTCAGTAAACGCCGCGTCGTAAGATTCTGATAGACATCAATTGTTATTTAATTACGCTTCTGCTTAAAAACATGGTAGTTTTGAAAATACTGTAACTTTTTTTGTGAAGAGCGATTGTATCAAATTTGGAAAATTTAAATTTGGCGTCGCCAGTAGCGCAATTCTACTTTTAAGCTCATTTGGAGATGACTTTAAAACTAGAATTTTGAATCTTGGAATCGATTTCGTGATTTTTCCTTTAAGCTTTTATGATCTTTTTATTATTTTCTACTGCAGTTCCTGCTATAATTTCAAATGAGAAAATAACAACTGTATACACTACTGTGTAATAGCATGGCATCTTGTATCTTTTACTATACTCGTATTGTGTATTTTGGCTAATCTAATAGGTAGTTAAGGATGTTCAAGGTAAGTCACTGCATTTTCAACTTCAATTTCTATTACATGCACTGAATGTGTATTCACTGAACGTTGCGTAATCGATTCCACGGTATTTATGTGTTCATTCATTTTACTGTATTATTGTTAAGTAATAGTGTAACTGTAACTTGTAAGCTATAATTTTAGATACTTGGAGGGTGGACGCGTAAGGTAAATTCAAAAAAGTCTGTTTAAAACTGTTTCTCTTCTCTTAATAAACGTTAAACCTTGTAAAGCAAGATGTAAAACTGCAAATAAAACCTTCCGTTAAATAGCATATGCATGACTACTCTTTATGTTTGGTTTGTTTTCACTTGTGCCCCTGAAACCGACACACAAAACAGGACTCTGTTCAACCATACACGTGATGGATGGGTTGATTTCCGTAGGCTCGAGCAAACTTTGTAAATAGTTCGTTTTGTTTTCATAGAAATATGATTGATCTTTGCAGGTGTAACAATTCTCCTGTCGCAAACAGTTTTCTCTCTATTGGTGGGGCACGTCATCACAAAAACCTCAGAGGCGATCCCCCTAATAGGTGAGAAACAAAACGCGATCGCTACCTTTGACAAACGTAAAATTGAAAAATAAATAAGTGATAAAAAACAAATATGGATCTTAAAGATAGATCAATGACTAAATGGACAGGAATGTGTTTTGAGGAATATTCTATAATGATTTGGATTATTGCCAAGTTTTAAGATAACTCATAAAATTAGACTTAAAACATAGGGTAATAAGATAGTATGGTAACTCCGAAGAATGTAATGAATGTAATGTATGTGTTCACCCCAACCGAGCGCCGTGTATACACGCACGCATTCGCACAATAATGAAAGGCGTACGGGACAACCAGCGTTATGCAACACGAATACTTGACAATATTATGCGAATGTGTGCGTCCGCGGCACACTGCGAACGTGCACACATGAAAGCCACGCTGCTACGTTTCTTTGAACCACAGTGTCTTATTACAATAATAAGTCTTATTATTATCTGGCATAGAATATGCCTAAAATGTACTTTGTGGTAAATATTCCTCTGCCCATTCTTGAATTAATAAAGATATAAATAGAATGCAATTTGCTTGGTTATTCTAAAAAAAATAAAATAGACTTTCCTATTTCTGATTTTTTAGGGTCTAAACCTCGAAGTCTCTCAGACCCTTTGCTTTATATTTCCTACCAGCTCACTTGATATAGACTTGCACTTTATACTGGCTAGATAAGGATAGCTAGCTGAGGTACTTTTGATTTTTAAATTGGCTCTTCTTGTAATGTGTTAAAATAAATAAACTTTTCCATTCATCCAAATTTTGTTAGAGTTTTTCATTTTAACCGTTTTTTGTAGATCCTTCACGACTACTGACGTCAAAGTTAAATTCTAAATCGGCATGGAATAATTTGGCCAAGTTGTATAGAAATACATTTATATAACAGAAATTCTAAAAGTTTAAACTAAAGCGCAACTCTCCTAAATGTAAATACGCTTTCTCGTATAGGATTTTGCTTTGTAGTTTAAGTTTGAGCAGGTTGCAAAATGGCGGTTAGCTTCTAAGAGGATGCGGGTGAGGGCCCAGCCTCCAAGTATCTCACATCGGCTCTCACAACTTTGCTGGTCTGTGCCGGTTACTTAACTTCATTTATCATCTTGCCTGAGCATCAAACATTGATGTTATAGCTAAAGCATTGAAAACTCTATAGCGCCCCCCCACAGAAAAAATATTAAATTAATTAAAAATTTTATTAATTTTTTTTTAGAATTAATTTTGGTGCTCAAGTAATCTTTAAGGTGGTACCTCGACAAATTGTAATAAGATAAAAAGAGATAGATGGCAAATAGGTTTCCAATTCAAATGCGTGAAATAGCTCGAAATAACTACCAAATCAACATTTTTAGAAAAATAAGTAAATAAAATAAAATGCATTTGTTTCCGACCACAATAGACAATAAAGTGTTAGTATTACATAAACTTAATTAACTATATTAATACGCAAACTTAAATGAAGGAAGAACCAGCGCCTTACTAAGTTACAGTGCCATTTGTTTACTACAAAAACTTTTACGATTGTAGCTAATTAAATTGTTACGTATTGTCTCAAAAAACCAAATACAAAGATACGACAACAAACACATAGAAAAATTCGTGAGGTCCGCTGGTTCGTTCCGTGGCTTAGTTGGTATAGCGGCTGCCACGGTATGCTAGAAGACGTCGGTTCGAATCCGGCCGGGTCGAAGGAATTTTTTTTGAGTGTTCTATTTTTGTATTAATAATTATAACAAACTACTTAGTGGAGTAATTTCACATAAAAAATCAATTCAATAAAATTTAAATGAAACTATTTTTTTCGGAACCAAATCGCGCAAATTACATGGTTCCATGGTCACGACTGCCTAAGATGATGATGGATGGAGATATGTATCTCCATCTAACCTGAGATCTGAAAAGAGCCCGAAGCGTTAGTTTGTTGGAAAGAAAAACAAATATAACCGATAAGAATTTAATGTTCAAGAAATCTTAAATTCAAACCAGTAACTGATTTGTGTTGTTTTGATAAGTGAGTTTGTGCACTGCATCCGTTGCGTATTTGTTCCGAATCCCAGACTATACAAATCTTGAAAACTATTCGGATGTCGCTTATGCACTAAGTCCGATTCAAATCCGAGAATACGAATATCGCTTGTACACCTAGAGATAAAATGATCTCTTTACATTTCGGACCGTCATTTCTCGGATTCAGAACGAATGCGAATGGGATGCAGTGCACAAACGCACTACTGGGTTAGAAGTGTGATGAATTTCTCGAGGTATCACTTAAGTTAAATTTGATAATTAGATTGAACAGTTCGCTAAACAATTGTAGTTACATATTCAATGTTGTTATAAAAAAACAGTATATAACTTGGAAATGTTTGTCATGTTTATAAGTTTAAACAACGTTGTTGTCAAGTTAAATTATTATTCCGTTTATCTACTTTAGGCTCTCGCTTTTCCCTTGGCTTAAAAGATAAATTTTGAATTTTCGAACGGGAGAGGCGTATTCCTCGGCCGGGGTCAGTGACTCAAGTTCAACAACCGGCCGTATCGAGATTTCTAATTAATCGATCGAAGTTATAAATAAGGCAATCATTTCAATTAATATCACAATTCGTAATCGCATATTTCATAAAGCCAGCTTCGCCTTCAATACGACACATAAATGTGCAATAGCATAATTTGCATGTTCTAAATTTTGCATGAATGTTTTTAATGTCTAATAGAATCTAATGTAAAGATGAGAATTTTGTTTTAAATTTCATTCCTTAGACAGAGTAAACTGGTTTCAATGATACTCATAAAAATACGCTTTATGGAAGAGGCATATGATTTAGATGGGTTATAGTCGTTAAAAAAACATTTATGGTAATGATAACACGATCGATTGTTGTAATAACATAACCCTTTCAGGTTTTTTGTTATGTATAAGGTTTTTATTTTAATATCGCGTAAATATATTAATAAAATATTTATATATGAACTCGTCTGATGAATAAAATTTAACTAATTCACATTTTTTAAATGTGCAAAATTTAAACATAAATTCATAAACATTCGTACGAAGCAATAAAATAAAACGGAGTACTTAATTTTCTCCTTTACCATATTTTATTTTATATTATTACAAAATTATTTATTGCCTCCCATTTTATTGTAATATGCGTTATTGTAATGAAATACAAAATAAATTTAGTGCTTGTGCTGAAATAAATATCATTTTTTATATGACGTAATTTCCTAAATAATACAGTCAAGACAATGAAGTGCGCATAGCAATTTTCGTTAATGTTTAATGACCATTTTTAATAGAGTTTTAACAAGTACAGTAAGCTCTTGAACCTCTTATAAATTAATAACAATAGTAAGGGAGTGTTGATCGCCTCAGTTTCATGTAAGGATCGTTTCAGTGTACGTGACGAAAAAATCAGCAGAAGTTGGTCAACAACTTTCATACAAAATTCAATCAAATCTTTTTCATACAAAATGTCACTAGCTCTATTCCACTTCAATACCACTAGATTTAGTTTTATGTAACGATCACTTTATAGTGTAGTAAGAAAAAAATCCGGACAGTAGAAGTTTTAATTAAAAGTCAATTTTAATAAAAAGATTATTTCATACAAAATGAATAACATTGACGATCTTGAACTTGATATATTCCGCTACAGACGTTATACAATTCGTCGTCTAGATTTCACTTTCCTCCCTTCAGGCTCGAAATTGCCAGTCCCTGATATATTATTCTCTGCGCCCACCTTTCAAGTCTTGGTACTATAAATTGCGTCTAATCATAACCTTTTGAATAAATAAAGAGATTCTTTGAATAATAAAGTGATGAGTACAGATGAGATCATTGAATGAAACCTTTGGGAGTGTGGTATTCTAATATGGCCTTTGTGTTATGGGTGACAGGGACTTACTTCAATTGCATCATGTTCATGGTGGCATCTTCCGTAGTGCTGACGGTGGTGGTATTAAACTATCATCATCGAACCGCTGACATTCATGAAATGCCACAATGGGTAAGTTCATACTTAGAAAACTTTTTTTATGTATAAGCTAGCTGTACTGCAATGCAACTGAAAACGTGTGAGGTCCTCAACCTACATTGGGCCAGTCCTATATTCTTATGTAGTCCTAGTAGTCCTATATAGAGGCTAAAGAGTCAGCATGGTTTCGTTAAAGAAGTATTTCCACTTGACGGGGAAACTAACCAAGTCCGAATAAATCTCTGGAAGGAGAGATACCTCACGGCATCACTCATTCCGCTGTTGGAGTATCTCCATCCTGGGCATAATCTATCTTGGCACATTTAGAAGTCTTTAAATTGACTGCGGTCCCAAGTCGGCTGAAGCAAGGAGAGCATGCACAGGTGGGGTTATAGCTCTGAGAGTGCATGTATTTGTGGTGTCTCTTCTCATACTACGGCACATCTTTTGTCTTCTCCTGCGTGCCTTATACCTTCATACACGAGGACCTGTGCAACGCCACTGACAATGCTGTGTCAGTCGCTGAGTACTGATACTCACTAATATAAACCTCAGAGTCGACACGCGAAGAAGAAGTCCTACATCTTACTATTTACATTTTGTTTGTATTGCCCCTCCCTAATCAACCTTTGATTATAAGGGATGGGCATTATAACTTGTGCAAGCAAGCCTGCACAGTGACCTTATCAGTTAAGTCTTGATCCCAGATAAGCCTATTGACGTAGACGTCATCGGTTCTCAAAAGGCGTCCAGAGCGCCCCGTGTGCACGTACAGCACCCTCCGTATTGTCCAGATAGGTACTGGTAACTGTTGGCTCGGTCACCTTCCGTTCTGCATTGCACAACTAGCGGTTGCCACCGCCGCCTGGTGCCATGGCCTGCATTGGGACCGTGGATTATAGAGTCAACTCTCTTGAACAACAATGAAATTGAGATGGTGTGAGCACTACTAGATTTGAAAATTGTATCGCGTTGCGCTATAATATTAAAAGCTAGCCCTACTAAGTAGCAGCTGTAAAGTTCTTTGTGAGAGAGTTCGTCCAGGGAAATCTTCTCGAACTTCTTACTAACCTAACCTTTTTCTGGCGTCAAGCAGTAACATTATGGCGTTCCGGATTTGAAGGGCAAGACATATGGGACTGTCAAACTTTATATTTCAGGATGTCGGGCCACTCAGGTCTGTGCGATTTAAAGGCCTGAGTGGCGTGTCGCTTAACACTACACTTGCACGACTTCCTTTGACTTAGTAGCCGTAGCGAAGTACTTCCACCTTACCTCTTTCTGCCGTCAAGCTACCGCGAACTTTACGGCGTTCCGGTTTTGAAGGGCAAAGGAAGCTGGTGAAACCACAGACATGGGATTTTCATATCTCAGGGTGACGAGCGCACCCCTCACTCACGCACGAGCGCACTCCGGGCGGCGTCGTGGTGAATGTTCACTGATCCCACGGCGCCGACTCAACCGGTGAGAGGGAAACCCGGGGGGTTTTAGTGAGGTAGGCCCTCCAGTCTGGAGGGAGAGTCCCTACATAACCCCTGAGTCTCCCTGGGCTCAGGAGTATCCATAAAGATTTCCCCCCGTCAAAAAAAAAGGGTGACGAGCGCAGTGATGGGCCACTCAGGCCTTTGCGATTTAATGCAGTTTAAAATGCCACTGAGCGTGTACCACTGAACCAAACGATTTGATCGCCAAAAATTGTTTTTCTGAGCCCGCGAAATTTTGATATAATTTAAAGGGAAACTATTAACCACGACTCTAGATATTTGATCATTGATTGTATCTACTGAAAGTAATTGAGTTTGATTGATTAATACCCAAACTAGGGTCAGCTTAACACATTCAGACAGGGATCAAATTGATGATAATTTGTTGTCCGACGGGTAGATCCTCATATGGCCAACAGTGGTGCATCTCCGCTCTATAAACTTTTAGTATATTCTAGTTTTTGTAGCTATGAAGTTTTGACTATTGTTCAGAGCGGGAACATTAATTTTAGCACTTTGTCACAAGGGGTGGCATGGATTCAAAATTGAAGTGTTGCGTGATTGGTACATTCCGCCTGATGGGCGATAAGCCCGTGGTCCATCGAAAATGCACCCATGATGATCGTTCTTTCAAAAAAATACTGCCACTTAAAAAAATGTTGCTTTTTCAAATTAATCTTATATTTATAAACTTTATTCCACAAGTTGACTTTTTGCTTTAGTGTCAATGTTGATTTCAAAGTGCGATAGATACCGAGTGATGGGATGGACAAGTCGTGCGCCCGGTATCCATGACAGTTGCAGTGCCACTCCGAGCTTTAAATCGCAAATATCTGAGGGGCACTGCCACTGCGCCCTTTACCCTGAGACACGAGGTGACAAGTCTCACGTGCGTGTAATTGCACCAACACCCTTGCCCTTCTTGACGGTTGAATTAGGTAATATGGCAGTACTTCCCTGCACTAACTCTTTCACAAGGAGCTCTGCTGCTACTAAGTTATATAATAAAACGGGTTGACAATGGGTCGCACAATTACGTCTCACTGACAGACATGAGTCTTCTTTAAGATGAGAGTTTAATGCATAGCTCGCTTGCTGGTCCACAGCTGTTTGGGGTCTTCACATATTTATTAAGTGTTGTGAGCCTTATTCGACGTCCATTCCATCATCTTGTTCTCCTTCACTGTTAACGCAAGTTATTGCTACTAGATATTTACAAATGTACGTTACTTAGACATTAAAATCTAGGTAAATGCCGTCATAGGTATTCGAACATTCGAGCCTTTAAATTGAAAAGCAACTCCCACTGCGCTGCCACAGCTTTTGTCTGTTCGATAACGAAGAGACCATAACATCAAATCATGCAATTTTTTTATAAAAATACCTACCTCAAAAGTTTTCTGACCTCCTTTCGCTGTGTTCGTTTCCACGGTCTCCTCGACGATAACCGAAATGCAAAAGTCCTTGTCAAAATGAATCATATGAGCCTAAATATAAGGTAGCTGCTGTTCACTGTCGAAGAGTTCCTGCCATCTGTCAGCCATTTCCATCATCAGATCGGAAAGTGGGTGAATAAATTGGTTTCATCCTTCTTAATTTTCCACCGTGGCCGAACGGTTATCACGCTAGACTACGCTGAAAAATTGTATGGTCTACATTTATTTCTCTCTTGAGTTTAGGTGTCATTTGTGGTTGTCCATGTGTGTCTCCATGGTACTCGCGATATAGGGTTTCCCTAGTTATGCTTTGAGTGTGTGTGTTATTATTGTTATTACATACTTAGTAGTGAAACACATATTTTGTTCAAATTTGTATGGGACCACTACTGAGGTACCCATTCCAACAAAAAGTAAACATCGAAATCGTACAACGTCGAATGTGTACACACAAAAAATATACGGACGAATTGAAAACCTCCTCCGTTTTTGAAGTTGATTAAAAACAAAAACATAACATGAAAATAATTCATTACATAAACAATATCTTTCAAACAGATAAAATCCGTGTTCCTTCAATGGCTGCCGTGGATTCTCCGCATGTCACGGCCGGGGAAGAAAATAACGCGCAAAACGATAATGATGACGCAGCGTATGCGCGAGTTGGAGCTCAAGGAGCGGTCGTCAAAATCGCTTTTGGCGAACGTGTTGGATCTTGAAGATGATTACCGACACGGGCCGCCACAGCCAAATAGTACTGCCTCTACAGGGAATTTGGGACCCGGGTAAGTTTATTTTAAATGATAACATAAAACATCTTATCAATTTGTTTCTGGTACTTGCACTCTGTATTACATTAGTCTGTCTATTCTTGTAGCATATAATGTGTTTACTTTCGTTGGTTTTATAATATTTCTCTTTATATTCTTAAATACGGTTCACCTCAGTAGCCTAACTGTTTGGATTAGGAGGTACTAGAGAATTGCGAAATTATCTTTTAATTAGGTATTGGTTCTAGCCTGGGTATTGCCCAGGGGTGAATTTCGTCGCTCTGGTACTCACAGTATACGGTTTATCTACTTCTTCAATCGATGGCATAACAGCAAATATTTATTCTCTTTGATCTTTTAATACTACAGACTTGATTTATGTGCTCGTGACTCATGGTTCCTTTAGTAACTTCTTGGGATACATTGACACGTAAAAAAGTCGATGTTTAGTGATATGATACTTATATCATAACTGATATAATATTTTATTTTGTGAAGTCTATATAGCAATATGACTATCAACGGTTGTTGCTTAAACCAATACAACCGGACTTCGCCGGCAGACTACCTTTTTATGACGAAGCTAAAAGGGGTAATGCCTTTCACTCGCAAGTAATCGCCGCATGATTTTCAGTTTTATTTTTATACTTCAGTTAAGATTTCATATCACAAAGCTTCCGGTCAAATTGAATGTGCGGGTCTGTAGGATAAAGTTTACAGTTTTAACCATTTCTTTGCCACGTACATTAGTGATTTCTTACATATAAATAGTGATTTAAACAAACAAAATGAACAATAATAGTATATTAAGGATTCTGAACTCAGTATATGTTGTGGAGACTTAATTTGGTTGTGCACAGGTTTTCACCCAGAACTTCTCTGGTAGGAACAACGATCTTACGGTGATATATCAGATCATTTAAATAACTTATCTATTACAGACCAATAACCGGAGGAAAAAGGATAAATTTTGCATGTAACATATTTTGATTATACCTGGGGTGGTTAAGCAACTTCTGAAGAACTAAACCCTATTTTCCTCAGTTAGGACTTCAAATTTTGCAGCGAAATACTTTCATGCAAGAACGGTCAATCATTCCAGATCGTGGCATCATCATCAATTAGGTGCATATGTGTTTTTAGAATATGCATTTTATTTGTTATACTTGTATCTTTGTAATTTTTTTACTGGGGAAAAATTAAATCCATTTTAAAATCCCTTCGCAAGCATTGTCTATCGATTAACATTTAGTACGATTATAAATAAAAGTTGTATGTTAATGACGGAAGGTATGCTTAACAGGATATAATTCCGATAACAACGAATGCAAGTAAACTAAATATCAAAGGATATGTTTCCCGGGATGCACTGCGCGGCGAACAAAGGAACACTCTTCAATCCATCAGAGTGCAGTCTGACGAACTTCTTGCATCTCTGTCAGTAGACAAAGGTTCCTAAATTGCAGTGTTGAATGGTTAAGCACGGTTTTCATCTGTTTAATTTGGAAATTTATGCTCTGACTTATTAGTTCTTGCGTTGCAATATTTGCTGTATACCTTCTTGCCAAGTTTATTGGATATGTAGGAAAAGCTTATAAGTAACGGTAATCGTCGCTTTATTACACATCACTTCAAGGTGTAGCGTAAACATTTCGTTTCCAACTCTAAAATTTCTATCCTCAGGTGCCAGGTAGCATGTGCTTATTCCATTATATTTTGCTCTTATGTCGTCATTGTACTTTTTATATGCAATAAGGGGTGACCGTTCAAAGTCATTAATCACAAGCAGCTTTTCGTCGAAAATAGCAAATATTCCATACGGGCGATACTTTAGCGTTAATAATTATCAATAATTTGGGTTTTAGGTTTTTATTGAAGGTGTTAAAGCTGAGTTTTAAAAGATTTTTGAGATTTGTATAGTCAAACAGTGCTATATTGTTTTCTATAAGGCAATTTCTTTTGCTTAATACGTGGAATTAAAAAGTTATCATCTTTCGGTATACTATTGTAGTCACTTTACGACATAGGTCGGTCATATGGACGACTTCGTAGGAGCAGAATTTTGTCATTGAGTTAAGTCTATGACTGAAAATCGTAATCATTTGGAAGACCCGCGGTCACCATCGCGATATATCCTATATTTGTATGATTAAACGAACTTACCTTTAGTGAAATTCTATCATAATGACATTAGAGTTGCCATATCTAAACAAATATACGGCCTAGAAGTTTTTTGTTTTAGATCTTTAAAAATTGTGACGGCGCTTGTACAATCAACGTATAAGGGTGCTGGTGAAACTGCAGGCACATAGGACTTGCCCTTTAAATCTTTTTCGATTTAAAGCTCTGAGTGGCACTGCAACTGTTATAGATAGGCGTGTTGCTTACCACCAGACTCACGACTTGTGTGACCCGTTACTTGATATCGTAAAAAGTACTAAGAGATTTAAGGCTCTCAGAATCTTGTGCTTTAATATCAATGTGAACCGCGTACGGAATACAAAGAAATAATAAAAGGTATTTCGATTGGCGCACGAAATCACCGACAGGTGGGGTTTGTTCTTAGATGAAATAATCACAATTGTATTATCCGCAAGCGGGTTAATTCCACTCGCTAACAACTTTGGTTTTTGTGGCGTGTCACTTCCTGCACGTATCGTTTGCAGATCTTTGAAACTGAGTCGTTGACCCCGGCCGTAGAACACTGCTTCTCTCATTTAAAACTTCAAATACATAATTTGTTTATTTGGGGCCGTGGGAGATGCGAGAGTCTTAAGTAGATACCCGAAATAATAATACTTTTGTTCAAATACGAATTATATGTATACTGAACTTCATAAATAGTACAGAGACAACGAGCTTTATAAGTGTGGCTATAAAATAAAACAAATGATAGAAATAAGGCGTAATAAAGGAAAGGGGTAACAACTTCTAGAGACACGGCTCCTGAACTAGACAAGAGATAAATTATTTGTATACGTTGTTACCTTTGTGTTATTAAATTTGTCGTTTCTCTTTGGAAGGAATAATGTAATAACAATATTATTATTGTTTCAAAAAGCCTTACATTAGTACACTTACGTGAAAGGTAAACACTAAATTTTCCACGTTGTTGGAAAAAAGTTTAGCGCTTTTAGGGCACAGCCGTTGCCAAAATAGATTTTTTTGAGCTTTAGACAGCAGCTACAGTATTATAGGCAGGTAGAAATTGATTACGCACATTTTGAGGATGCGAACAGCATTTACATGCATGAATTGTTAGATATATTTAAATACGAAACGGTGTTTCTCTGTATGGGGTATAAAAATATATGTTTCTAACATGCAAAACAATTATAACAGTTTTTGTACAGGATGATAAAACCCTAAAATATACATAACAGTTTAATAATAATAATAATAAATTTATTTCCTTCACACACAATTTCAACCATAATTAAACATTCTTAAGTAATAAAAACATTTGTTGTCTGTGAAGGCTGGAGCCTAAACTAGGATACCCTGTGCTATAGGTCTCCAGGCCTCCGCCTACGGATAAAGTACCAATAAAACATTGACTGCGTCACGAATAATTGCTGAGAGAAAGTTACTCAAAATTTGGTTTATACAAATCAAAAAATTATAAATATAAATAAAATTCAAAACTAGAGGGCAAGTATTTTGTTGTGGGTGTGTGAGATCTGTGTTTGTGTGTGTGTGTGTGTGTGTGTGTGTGTGTGTGTGTGTGTGTGTGT